TGCATTTCCTGGTGGTGTGAGGAGGAAAACAGATGATGTAAAAGAGTGGGAGGTACAAACAAATCCCATTTTTTTTATAAGAATAATTGTGTCTGAAGCCACAGTTAGCCGTGGGAAACTATCAACTGACATAGCTTGATAGACAATTCATTGTGGATGGCTAATAGAAGTACATATATGTATCTCCACCGCATGGTATCTGTATGAAACTATTATGCCTGAGGCAGATTGCTTGCCTTTGGCCTCGAACTTGACTTCAACTTGGTTATGTTTACTTAAGGCGTGGTGAAAACTGCCTTATAAAGGAGAACAGGGATAGTGCCAGCCTGTCTGTCACTCCGTTGGTGTTGGCTGCAGAATTACACTGGAGGCATTGCAGGTAAAACATCGCTTTGCTGTTTTACTTAGTACTGGATGAAGCAGGTGAAACACAAAGAATAGTGCTGGAAAAACACCATAGACATATCGAGGGATTTGTCTTGGAGAGACGGAATAAATTAGAGTCTCCATCCTTAATGTTACCTGGAGAGAAAGAAAAGATTAATTTGCCATCCTTAGAAAAAGCCTTACAGTAAAGCAGTAAGTTGTCAGAAGTAATTGGATCAAGTGGGAGTGGAGATCCTAAGAGGAGGAGGACTCTGTAGTTACTGCATGGTGCTGTTAAATGAGGTAGAAAAAAGGTGTCTGGAACTGTCCTATGCTATGTATGCAAAACGAGGAGAAAATTGACTTAATAAATAGTCAGAAGGGAGTACTTCACAGACTGTTTGGAGCAGAAGGTCATGCAAGACGCCACTGGGAAAGTAATCTCCTGGAGGATTGCCAAAGTGCCTGGTTTTCGTTTTGATTTTCTGAGGTACTCAAGGCTTTCATATATTGTATGGACAAGGAGCTGTTGTCTGTCTGGGGTTTGGGACGCCCAAGTTCAGGTCCCTACTCAGCCTCTGCGCTTTGCTGTCTCTGTGAGAAAGCTGCTGAAAAGCAGCATGCTTTCATTTGTTTTTTTCTCTCAATGCAAGGGGAGCTAATGAACTCGCTCTTTCCTTCATTATAAGGCAATTCTGGAACTGAATCCTTGAAATTTTTACAGTGCTTCA